ACTGTTTTTCTTTGTAATGTTACTTTCTTATTCTGTTACCAAGATAGCATTTTTATTTAGTTCTTATTCTACTTGTTCATTCCAATTTGTATTATTGTTTAAAAAAAAACTTGTTTCATATTTCATATTTTGCTTATTTAAAAGGAAGTTTGTTTTAAGTAAAACTCTTTTGTGTTTTTGAAAGTTAAATAATATAAGTCTACATTTCTTAGAAACAAAAACCTTTACCCTAATTCTAATAAAAAATAAAGGACCTTTATTTTTTTTGTTAGTTGTTATTTTGTCAACAATAAAAATCCTGTTCAAATCAATAATAAACAGAAAAGAGTTTGTATTTAATCTTTTAATTCTAATGCTATTAACTCTCATCATCTCAATCTTTTTTTAACTATTAAACAAATTGATATCTTACTTTCATCTTCTCAACAAACTGATTATTCTTCTATATTTTTTTTCTATATCATCTTCTTCTATATTATTTTTTTCTAAACCATCTTCATCTATACCATCTTTTCTACATTATCTTTTATTAAAATTAGAAATTTATACTTTAAAAAGAAAAAACATGCAGAAGAACTTGAGATATTTAAAAATCCTAATACCTATTCATTAAAACTAACCCTTAAGTATCCTAATTCTCAAGTTCCAACACAGATCAAAGAGAAAGAGTCCAATTAGCCAAAAAAATGAAAAACTTTGCTATTTGCTCAACTTCTTACTAATAAAGTTCCTTTAAATGCTTTAAAAGAAGCAGATGAGTTAGCAAAGAGTAAAACAGAAAATACAAAAAAAAGAAAAGAGAAAGCAGCCCAGAAATGAGCTGATCGGAAAGCTGAAAAAAAAGAAAAAAGACGAAAGTGAGTGAAAAAAAGAAGATCGGTTATGTAAAAAAAGAAAAGACAATCATGCGTAATTATGCTGTGCTATACTTATCTGTATAAATACTATATCGACATTAATTCGACATATCCGATGTGCACCATAATACCCCCTAAAATGTTAAAACCATAGCATTTTTTGAGCAGAGTTTGAAAGGTCATATTTCTAATTTTTTTTTTAAAAAACATCGATTTTTTTTTTATTGGTAGATAGTTAATTCGATTAATAATTTATTTCAATAAATTTCAAGAATAAATATATTTTTTTCTGGAAATTTGTATATAAGCAACTTTTAAGTGCGTCATAATACCCCACTTCACCTTATATACATTAAAAATTTTTTTTTAAAAAAGTAAAATTGAAAAAAAACCTAAGCTACGTATTACATGATTACGTATAATCAGAAATTTTTTCCACAGAATCGATCTCCCGATTTGGTTTAACTTGGTGATCCTTAAGCTTTGAACTGATAGCGTATTTTATGTACGTACATGTATTTCTAAGCTTTTAATCCGTTCACAGAAGTTAGCACAATTTCAGATCGTCTCCATGAGTCGGGATTTATGTATCAAAATGCTAATTTCGATCACAATTCATTACAAATTCTTGTTGCGATATTGATCCGGTTGACATCTCAGTCATGATAAATCCACATATCTGCTTTTTGTGTTAAATGTTCTTGCAACATCTCAGGATCAATATATAACATAACTCCTCACCTTATAAATCTGAGCGTTATTTTGCGACAATACGATACCCGTATTTCTTGATTTATTCAAGACTTATGTCTCAGAATATGTTCACAAGGACCTTCACGGTAACAACTTTTTATTAAATTAAAGCATTAATTTCAGATCTAGGATTGGAGTAATTTCAAAATTTGATCTAAATTAAGTCATCATTCTAAATAACGCCCATGGGTTATTTCGCGACAAATACAATAAATAATTTAAATATAGTTTTCTGTGAAAACCTCCTTTATTGACTTATTGAAGCACTAGTAAGCCTCATTTGCATGTTTTGAGTTAGGCCACATATCGCAATTATAGTGTTATGAGATCCACAGTTCATATAAATGAGAAACTCTACAGCTTATTATTGAACTAATTACGTATAAATTTATAATGAACAACTTTTAACTAACCTCCTTAGAATTAGATGGAGTTTTGAGTGCAACAGTACTAGATGGCTCACAAGCTCTTACAACTTCGTCGTTATCATCATTAACCAATTTTCTAAATATTACTTAGCATATATACGAATTAGTTCTAATTTCATGCACTTATCAATTTTTTTGTTTCCATTAGTCCATCCTTGAACAGCTGTATTGGGATCACATGTTTGACACTACGCTTTCTCGTGTTATATTTATTATTAGTATACACGTACATATTCATATGAGTGCCACCAAGGGAAAATCCGATGTAAAAAATTATACGTACGTTATTGATGTAGATGCGCTATTTTATATAGTTATATTAATAATGTAACTAAGTCGTATAATTTTACATCGAGGTTTCCCTTGGCAGCACTCATATTCAAAATTTCGACTGTGTAAACCGAAATAATAATTACAAGTAGGACCGAATTAAAATATTTATTATAGACTGTGGATTTCAAGAGTCTCAAAATGTTTGTTTCAGCAGATTAAGATAATGTTCGAAAGTTTTGCGCTCGTTCTTTTAACATCAATTCCTCAATTGTATCAAAAACCAGTCCCAAATAATCCGCCTTTTTTTTGATAATATTCTAAGGCATCTTTCTCATATCGACGTCTACACTATAAGTATCTCCATTCCAGTTTGCGGAGCTCTTCCCGTTTTTGAACTCGTTTACAGAAAAGAAATACACCATTCTTTTTATACGCATATACTGAATAGATAACGATAATATATGTAAACTCTGTTCAATATAATTTAATAAAATATAGTTAATTCTATAACGAACTGATATTCTGATGAAAAAAATTTGGTATAGAAAATTGATATATTTTCTTAAGAGCCTGTAGCACTTTTTATATCGAACTAAATAATTTAAAAAATTTGAGTCCGTTATTCACTATAGAGAGGTTTTTTTTATATCCGAATCGATTATATTCATCGTACCGTAAAAATTACTTTAAAAAAACAAATCTTCATTGAGGATGGAAATGACGCTCTTTTCGCAATGACCAGGTTACCTCTCGGAGAGAGAACATCTTTCCTGATAAAGTATATAACATATTATGATCTCATTCTCTAGAGTTATAGCTGGAGCTCAATTGTACGCACGTACATTCTCCCAACCAATTATCCAGTGTTTAAAATTCGATGTTTCAACGTCCTCTAAGAACACAATTTATTTTTAATTGCAAATGCCGATAGTCCCTGATTATACCCCCGGATTTTATAACAATCTCCGATATATCTGTCTTATTCAAGTTTTCTTAATCGATAGAATGTATGACTATGTGAAGAGATAATCTAAAGCCAGGAGTTTTTAAACTGATTACTAATCGAGATTTGTACCCTCATATGCGGTTATTTTAATTCAGGTCAGATAAAAACTTCTTCACGGGGAACTATAAATCTGGGTCAAGAATAGAATTTCCTTTTCAATTTATTCATTCATTTGTTTATTTTATTTATTTATTAATTGTCGAGTACTTTAAATTCTTTGGATATTATAAATTCTTAATTTGTAGTCCCAACGAAGATTATATACGGTGATAACTAGAAAACAACGGGATTAAACGAATTCTACAAACTTGGAAACTCGTTTAGGGGCTTAATCACATGTAGCTTGTTAAAAATCGAATGCTATCATTAATTGGTTTTTATAATAATAGTTAAATATACAAGCTAGGTCAAGCTAACAATACTCTAATACGTATTAATAAATTCTGAAACGATTCTGTTAATCAAAGGTAACGATATTTACAATAAATAAATCCACCTTTTCATGTGTATCATGACAGGTTATCTGAAAATACATTGTCACCGGCACTATGTGATATTAACAAAATGAAAACATTCTTTTGACAAACCAACCTAAAACATTTCGCTGGCCAATCAGATTTCAAGATCAGGACAGTTAATAAAACCGGCAAAATTCAATAAATGTAATACTAAAAAATCAAATCAAATCAAATAAAAAATTCGGATTATTCAAGCCGAATCAAATTTGATTTCTTCATACAGAGTGAAGTGAATTTTAGTTAAAACAACTCGCCAAAGGCGTAACTAAGGTAATATAAGTAATAATTTTAAGCGAAGATTTTAATATAACCATTTATTAGGTTTATTAATTGGTTTCCTTTACAAAGCTAAATTACAACTCTTATAATTTTTACATCAATATGGGGCGAAAGGGGCTTTTATGAATTAATCTATTACTATTACAGCTAAACTCTCAGATTACTTAACAATTTCTCCTTAAGGGGACGGGTTTCTCTGATTAACAGTTTCTCCTTAAGGACAAGTTTTCTCTACTTTACCTTCGATCTTAACCCAATACTCAATCTCATTGCCTCCTCACTAACATTCTTCGATTCGAGTTCGTATCAATTTTGCTAGAATATTCCATTTTGACTCAAACAACATAACAATCGAAGATCCCATGATATTGATCGATTTTAAGCCACATTCCTATGATCACAAGATTTACTACGCCTAATTTCAGAATCTTAATCTTCTCTAACGTCAAGATCTTAAATACAGAAATAATAAATACAGAAATAATAAATAAAATAAATAATAAATAAATAAATAAAAAACCAACCACCGTTTTAAATCAAATGATAACTTCAAAAAATGGTAAGAAAATATGCGAAATTCTAACTCTAAATCGAACATTAATTATTTATTTTAATAATTCAGCTTAAGGCTATAAGAGTAAATTTCTCAGTTATTTTATTATGAGAAAAAAAGTCATTTTGATATACTCAGGCAATGGAAATAAATCTCATGAAGCATGCGGATTGATAAGAAAGTTTTCAAACATCACAAATTAGTACTAAGTAGTATAATAAACAAATCGTACTCGAGCTATCATCTTTTAGATGTGAGAGTACAGTTCACCGAAATCGAGCTATACTGTATTCAAGAGTTCCAGCGGTAGTGCACTCATTTGTACAATATCTATTATGCGATATTAAGGTGTTTCGTTGATGGATTGGTAGAACGTTTCTTACAAAATAACCAACCGAATCCATTGCTTTTATTGACGGCTCTAAAAAGTTGAACATTTGAAACACATGGACCATATCTTTATTCAATAAGAAATAATAGTAAATGCGCCAGTGTTTTTAGTATATGCGCCAGTGTTTTTAGTATATGCCATCATAAAAATAATACGACTAAAACCAGAAATTATTTAAAAATACGAACCTTCATAAACTTCATGTTGTACGAATGTAGTTCCAGCTTCAGAAGCTTTTTGAACCAACAAATAAATCTCATCTCTCAACACTTCACTATCACCACATTGTATTAATAACGGAGGTAAGTCATGTAAATCACCAAATAACGGAGATACATAAGGATAAGTAATCAGTTTTGAACGATCCTCATGAGATTTCAAGTAAAGATTTACAGGGTGTAATGGATCATCATCTTTTGGTTTGAATAAATAATCATAAGGTTTATTTTGATCCCAACTTGCGCATGACATCGTCAAATCTACCCACGGCTATATAATAAAAATAATAAGGTTCATGTGTGCAATATAATATATAAAACCGGATAAACAAAAATAAAGGTAACTTACTGAAAATAAGACCGCTCCACCTGGTAATGGCATTCGATTGTCACGAAGATAATAAAGCAATGCTAAAGCTATTATTATCAATAATAAATCAGACCAACATAATACACAATAATTCCTATAAACGCTATATAAAAAGAAAAAACGAAAGCTCGCCTAAACCACCACCAGCGCTGTCACCCGCAACGACAATGTTATGTGGTTGAATTGCCAAACCATTAGGGTCAATTAAATAAAGAAAAGAATGAACGGCATCATGAAGACCACAAGGGAAAGGATTTTCTGGTGCTAATCGATAATTTATTGCTAATAATTGGATAAGTGTATGTAGATCAGCACATGATGACATGTGACAAATTACGAACCAATCAAATAGCATATTTCATGATGAATGAATACACATATACATACCAAAAACTCTCCTTCCAGTTACTTTCGATAGACGATAGTTTAAATCTCTATGCGTTTTAGCTGACATAAGATAATAAGCACCACCGTGTAGATACAAAATTACTTTTTCGTTTGACCATTTAATACCATCTTGATCAATATATATATGCTTATAATGAGCAGCTGATAAATGATAATCATCGTTAATCTTTCTCCATAATCTTTTGGGTACAATCCATTCAGCACTAATCTCTCGATTTCCTGTTTCACAGTCTTCTAAATCCTTTAATATACCAGGTAGCCCTCTATTCAAAACTCTAAATGATACGGGTGTAACAACAATATCCGAAGGGGTAAAAGTAAAAGGAATGCTAGTAAACATTCTTAGTTTATCCACGTCAGCCAAGTGGGTATGCTCGGTTAGGGCTCTCATGGCGGCGCAAATTAACGTAAGTTGTATCGGCCAAGAAGGTTTACGGGGACCGGATAGATGATGAGTGAGAAAATTTGCAGTTAAGATAGTTGCTTGAGAAGTTAATAACATGGCATGGTCAAATAATTTCCAACTTTCTATGGAGGAAGATGAACAAACTGATTTTTTTTCAAGAACATTTGATTTTTGATGTTGATTATCTTGCTTGTCATCATTTCGTAATTTATCTTGAACAGATGTTTGAAAAGAAGCGAAATTATACATAGTAGATTGATCGATTTTAAAATAGTAGTCTTTTTTTTTTTTTAATTTTGAAATTCAGATAATGGGGGTTTTTATATACGTTTTATTTTATCAATAACAAGTAGTATATAATAAGGTAAACTGTAATAAATTTTTTGTGGGGGATTGTTTGGTGGTCAGGCGACGATCAGAACGTAACAGGAACAAATATCATTATATTTATTTGTATAAATGGCGAAGTGGCAAAGCATATAATGGTGATGCATAATATTTTTTTGATCATAGCATAGTGAAAAGAAACATCAGATATGATTTGCTCATAGTAATACTTTTGGTAGTTTTTGGTCAACTGGAAATCCAATTAGTCGAGCAGGTGATAGAAATTTTCTCGCTTTTAAAAATTTTAATTGGCTAAAATAAAACCTTTTTTCAAAAGTTCTCAGATTATGATTGCACATGTGAGTTGCAGAATCGTGGAAATACTAGTTCGATCAAGTTTTCTTGTGTTCTCGCTGATTCCTGTTCAATCATAACCTTAACGACCGATTAAAATGCATGACCCCACATATTAATGTTAAGCCAAAATCCGAATTTATATCTAATTAATTTTAATGTTAATGTTTAATGAATCGGTTATTACACCATAAAACGCAGAATCCTGCATGCTTTTTTCTTTTTTAATAATGAAATAATTTCAAAAGGAAAGGTGGCTTTTCACTTTAAAACTGATAATAAATAAATAAAAGAATAGGGAACAATACAGATCAAAATACACATTTGTATGTTAGCATACACAGGTGGCTCCCCGCCCAATTATTATGTAACCGTTACAATTATCGCATAACATGTTATATACTGGGACCGACGAAAACGATGTATTAAAAAATGTATTTTGAAAGTTAGCAACTATAAATTAGAGGTTCGCTTGTGATTTTAATATTTTGATCTATTTAAACAATGCAGGGACATCTTGTTATAGAACATGAATTGTTATAATATGTGAATAGAAACAATAAATTATCAATCAAGCAATGTGTGGAAGTAGATTCATTCAAAATTTGTTTCATTAAAACGGGTAACATGATCAACTTTTAATACAGTGATTTTAGGGTTGCATCACTATTACGAGATAATTCTATTACAAGAATAACTTAAGCCTGGAATTATACAGTCAATGCAACACGTAAATGTGATTCAAATTGATGTAAATTGTTCGAAAAATACACATCGTTTATCATAAATACATAACGGTGGGAATGGAAAAATGGCGGGCAATCTTACATAGGTAAGATGAGGAGTCACATGGTCATGCTCTAAACTACTTCGAGCTAAAGAAAAAAGGGATGAATCGTTGAAATCTTGGAGTAATAACGGGGTAACGAAAACTTAACAGTAAACAAATTGCGTATATCGATATAGAATAAAAAATATTCTAAGCCAAAATCAGTTTTCTATCACTTGTTCAATAATCAATCATTCATACTTTTGATTCTTGTATAAATCTGGTATTCGCATACAATGACGCAGTTTCATATGTTTTCTGCTGCTTATCCGATATTAACTGTTCGTAGCCACCGCTTATTTCCCCGCCTTTTTCTTTGTTTGCACAGGTGAACATGGAGTTAACGTCCAAAAGTAGTTCTTTCTTTGTTACACTTGCATTCATATATATGCAATTATATGATTATCGAGTCGGTTTTAACAAGTTTTAAATTTTATTTTTCTTGCTTTTTATGTATATCGATATAGATGCTTTACTCTAAATACTCTACGATTTTTTTAAATAAAAGTTTTTTTCAAAATCAAGAGTATTGTTAATAATTCAATTATATATATAAGATATTGTATAAATGTTTAAAAAACATATATGAAATTAAATATTATTATTAGTAAACAAAAATATTAAATTTTTTTATAACAGTTAAGTTTTCAAATCTTTAAAAACAAGAATCATAGTCCGAATCAAACTAGAGGCAAAAAATACATTGTAATTTAATAGAATCAAGTTGAATATAAAGATTTTGTAAAAAAGTCCAAAGGTAAGTATAAAATTGAATTAGGAATTTTTTTGAAAAAATCAATATTATAAAGAAATAGCATTATATATAACGACAGTATGATAAAAGATCCTTAGTTATACAAGTAAGTTCTAAAAGATATAAGCAATACTAATGTTCTTGTATTTAATTTATAAAAAACTTGATTGAAGAAATAATAAATATATAACAAGAATTAAAATAATAAATAAAGTAATAAATATAAGAAATTTGTATAAAAGAGTTTTTACAAAAAAAACTTGCTTTTAAATTATATATAAAAAATAAAAACTTAACATATAATCTGTAATCTAACCTTACAAGAGTAATTAATGTCTATCTAAATTTGAATATAAATAATAATATAGAAAAGAGTAACATATTTAATTCATTAAATAATCTAAAAATTAATTTTAGTAATGGTCTTTGAGACTAATATAGAAGATAAAGTTAAACAAAAAAAGAAGCTATGAAGTAGATTAGTAAAAAATATAATTTAAAATTATACAGAATGTAAGATACAGTAAAAAATACATATATGTTTCTATACTTGTTGATTTAAGTAAAAAAGAAGTTGAATAGAAAGAAAAATAGCAGTATAGTAAAAAATAAAGATGTTATAAATAAAATAAAAAAGTAAAAATTATGCATAAAATTAGATTTTTTTTATTGTTATTAATATAGAATTATGTTATATTTTAGTTAATATTAAATTAATAATAAACTATTATTGAAAATAATTTCATTTATGAAATAGTAAAGTTATTTATATTGTATTATATTAGTACTATTATAGTCTTATTGTCTGAGTGTTATAGTAAGACTATAAATTACTAAAAATTTACAAAAAAATATAAAAAATAAAATTATAAAAAGTTTGAAATATATTTTTTTGTAAAATATAAATATAGTTATATAAAAAATATTTAATAGGTATGACAACTTAGTAAAGTTGATAAGTTGTCATTCCTCCAAGTTGTAGGTTGTGAGTTTAAAACCCATCAATAGCAAAATTTGGATAATCATCTATGTAATATCTAGACAGTATTATAACAATAGCATTCTGTCAATTAGTTAAGATAGGATATCTGTAACTATGATTATATCAACATGACTGGCAGGTCTGAGGTATCTGTGTAATCTTGGTTACATAGAGGAATACAAACTAATACCAGGTAATAAAAACTTAAAATAAGTCTTTAGGTCATGTAAATTTATAAAACTAAAAAATTAAAGCTCACTTGAAAATTTTAAGCAAAAAGGTAATACAAATCTTTGATAATACTACTATAAAGGCTAGACCTAGAAAATAGATACCAATGTGAAAGAATCAGGCAAATGAAAACCTCAGATGAGAGGTATTACCAACCAGACTACCAGATTTCAAACCAGAAAAAAAAAATATTAGGCTGGTTTCAATATATCAAAAACAGGTTATAGTTTTTTTAAGCTATCTGAATTGGAAGTCTGAGGTCAAAGTAGGAGTATACTAAAAGTACTAGGGATATACTATGAAGTCAGTATTAGGGTCTGGATAAACTCTATAAGGATAGCCTTTGTTAGTGTTCTAAAAATGAATAGATAGTTAATAATAGGAGGTCTCTTGTATCTTACTAGTAGAAAACATATTCTGAAATGTGTAATGGTCTAGGAACTAGTACAAAAAAGATAGATATCATACTGCTCAGATAGTATATCAACTAGATATATATAGAAGTTAGTTGGAGTTACATCATGACAAAACAGATGATTAGAAAGTTTAAATAAAAGTAGATTATAGATATAGTATCTAGTATAGAACCTTAGAGCAGACTACTTAAATAGGCAATCAAAAGTTGTATGCATAACTAGTTGTATTCTTATTTCTGTAAAAATAATTGTAAGAACTAATCTAATAAAAGTCAATAAAATATTGTCACAAAGTATGATCTTTAACAAAAAAAAAAATTAAAATTTTTTTCTCTAAAAAACAAAGATTTAAAATTTTAAAAAAGATAATTGTAAAAAATACAAAAATAAAAAACTATTAATAGATATTAAAAATATATTTATGTTTTATTTAATATTAAAATAAGTACTTGTAATTTAAAATTTTATTAATAATATATTTTAGCTAATAGCTTTTTTTTTTTTTAAATATTAAGATGAGTACTTGCGATCTAGGATTTTATTGGTTGCATTACAACCACAGGAGGCAATCATGGAAAGAGTGTACAACTAGCCACTTGCACAACTTTAGTTATTGTCTAATTTAAGTAGTCTGCTTGAAGGTTCTATACTAGTTGCCATATCTGGAACCTGCTTGTAAGTTCCCTATTTAATCACTCTGTTCCCATATCTACCCACCTACTTACATCTACTAAGATGCCCTAGTTGATACCGGTTCAAATATGTATGGTCACTAAGTCTTTAAAGCAGTTCACTCATATGGAAAACCTTTGACCTTGTACTAAATCTTCCAAAATCTTCTGTATCCTATTCTTATAGCTGACCTGATATCACTATGGCTAAGACCAATACTGGCAGTCAGGATGTATCATTTAACCGCTATGCCCTTGTAGAGTTCATCCCAACCCTAGTACTGACTTTACAACATATTTCTACTACTTTGATATTCAATTCAAGTTCTACCAAGCTTCTAAACCAGATAGCCTGGAAAGGCAGGTCATAACTATACATCTCTGGTTTACATGTTTGCTAGCATGTAAGCTTTTCCTCCAGAACCTGGAAATTCTGACGGCCTGGTTGGTTCCATTTGGCTCCTCCTCAAAGGCTGGCTCTTTGCCCAGTTTCACAAGTTCTAGCTTCATTTCATAGATCTAGTTTTTACAATAGTATTGTCGAAAGTTCAGGTTACCTCTCTACTTGGGTCTTTCAAATGGGTTTCCATCTTCCTACCTGGTTCCTATGATTTACACGGCCTAAGGACTTATCTTGGATTCACACTACCTGATACTGGTTTGTGTTCCTTCATACAACATTGCA